CCCCCAGTCTAGAAGAGAGTCCTACCTTCAACACTCCTTAGGGAAACAGGATAAAACAAAGAAGGCAAAGGGAGTGAGAGGCGTGGGAGCGGGAGGGCCGGGGGAAGGGCCGATGCCCGTTGCTAACGGCTGTGAACGCTCTCTCCCAGGCCTGCTGGTCGACCGCAGCGAGCTCTACAGCCGAGCCTTCTACTCCTGCGCCGCGGGCATGGCCCTGGCCGCCGTGTGCCTGGCGCTCGTGAGGCCGTGTGCCAGGGGACCGTGCCAGCGCCGCCCGGCAGAGGCGGGAAGCGCGGAGAGCTATCGCGGGCGAGCTTTACAGGACATACCCGAAGACTTCCTTGAGATGGACCTGGGCAGAAGCGAGCATAAGGGTCCCAGAAAGCCAGAGGCAGAATGACAGGCCGGCTGGGGGGGCGCGCGGGGGACACGGCGGCGGACGGGCGCTAACCGCCCCGGGCACCTTCAAAACGACCCTCTAAAGGGAATGTACACACAAACGCCACTCCCAACATACTTTTCTTTATTGTTAAGTTTTCCTTTCCGCTTGTTCCTGAAGCCAAAACAGAAACAACCAAATGCTCTTCCATCCGCGGCTGTGGCTGTGGCCATGGCCGTGGCCATGGCCGTGGCCGTGGCTGTTCCGAAGCGACGCACAGGTGGGGAGGACTGGCTCCCGGTCCAGTTTCAAACAGCCGCCTAAACGGGCACAGTGGTTTCCAGAGCTCTCCCACGGCTAAAACTGCTACATTGTGAAACGGCACCTAGCCCAGGTCACTGCAATGACATTGGCCATCCAAAGAAAAAAAGAATCTCAACTCTCTTCTAAAATTTCTCATTTCCAGAACTATGAACGAATTGTTTAAACCCCTTTGAGAAATACCGAGGTTTACATTAAAAATGAATAGCCTCTTAATTTTCCAAGTATTCCATGGAAATGAAGTACATACATTTGAAGACCAAACGTTTGGCTAATAGATGGAAATTTCTATATATACATATAAACTTGAAACGCATGAATGGGAAGATTCCCACTTCTTTTCATGGCCAGTCATTTCCAGAAGTATTTCACACAGAATATACAGAATAGATTCAAAAATGCATCTCCTGTTGCTTTTAATTATTCAGAAATATGTGACTGTAGAGTCTTTAATTTAAACCACTATTTATTATTAAGTTATTCTAGGATGATTAAAGTAGTCAAAAGAAATATAACCTGGGACATAAGCATCATTCTTACCTCCCTTCTGCAATCCTTTAAAAGCCCCAACGGAGACGACTTCTCGCAAAGTTACTCCAGGAGGGCCACGTGGGAACGACCCTTGCGTTTGATTAAGGGCAGCGGGCGCTATTTACAGCGGGGACAATGACGAATAGCAAATTGCCTTAGCATTTTAAAACGATGTTTCATCGCCTAAGAATACTTGAGGATCTTCTTCGATCAGAATTCTATTTCGTTGACTTGTTGAAGCAACTCTGATTCAGAAAAGAAAACCATCTGACCGCAGAAGCATTTCTGCATCTCGCGTGGGGCAGCAGGGACGCTTATCTTACCATCACGAGTTACGAGTGGCAGTCGGCATCTTACCTAAACTCCGGTTGCTCTCAGTCGCCAGAGTTTTCAGGGTAACCGATCGTCGTCGTTTTTTGCAGTTACACTACATGTATAGTATTTCTCATCGTAGCCGTTTTCGGTAAAGAAGGCGAGTGGGAGGGTAACGGCGGGTTTCTGCTCCTAGGACCGACTCTCGCTCCGCAGGCGACGGTCCGCCTTCTCCGTCTTCACTGTTAATTTATGACAACTCAGGGGGAAACAATGTAACAAAGCCTAGTTTGATTACAGGTACACAAAGCTTGAATCTTTCTCTGCACTGAAGTGAAAGTGGCATAGTTCCTCACCGCCTGCTAGATCTTGTACAGAATTTTATCAGCCATAGAAATAGGACAATCTGTAAATCTCTGGGGAGGGTGGGACTGGAAATGACAAAGTGTCCGTCCAAAAAAAGACACACCTAAACCGAGGTGGATGTAGCGGATCTCTGTCACTGCTTGAGAAGGACTTTGAGCTTGTGACAGTGTTGCAGACTTACATGACTTCAGCACTTTATAACAATTTTTACTATGAATGTTAAATACAGTTTAATATTTATAACTGATTTCTGAGCTACGTGCTCAATGTCCATTCTGTTAACTGCATGGAAAAAAAAAATGCCAATTTCAGCTTGTCAATAATCAAGGTTTTCAATGTTTGGAAGAAAATGAAAACAGGATTGCTGATTTGTTCTGTACTAGGGACATTCTGGTACTTCTAGATTTGCAATAAATGAATGGCTTTTTTATTTAAAGAGACTGATTAGTCTTTTATTGACTCATTGGCATTCACTGTTTGATCCAATTAAAGTTATAAAAACAATTTCTGAAAAGGCTTTTCACTCTACTAGAGATACATAAACACTTCTGAGAAGTGTTTGTTGATTTTATTTCTTGGATGAAAAATACATGAATGAAATGATAGCATAATAGCCACCAAGTAACAGCTAAGCCTCACAACTGTAATAAGTAGAAACAGTGAAGACTATTCAGTTATAGAATAATCCTAAGAACTGCTCTGACCTGTAAGTAAATAGCACACCGACTCAAGTTCACAGGCATTGGTGAACTTTTTCTGTAAAGATCCAAGTAGTAAATATTTCAGGCTCTGGTGCCGTGAGGGCTCTGTCACAGCTATTCAACTCTGCTATTGTCTTGGGAAACTAGCCATGGACAGACAAAACTCCTGCACCGATGACTTCACAGGTAAATTTTACCAGACATTCAAAGAAGAATTAACACCTATCCTTCCCAAACTATTCCAAAAACTTTAAGGGAAGGGAAAAATGACTCCCAAGCTCATTTTAAGAGGCCAGCATTATCCTGATTCCAAAACCAGATGAAGACATTACAAAGAAAGAAAATTAGAGGCCAATATCCCTGATGAACAACATATCAGCAAACTGAATTCAGCAATACATTAAAAAGGTCATACACCATGATCAAGTGGGATTTTTTTCTTTGGGACGCAAGGTTGGTTTAATGTCTGCAAATTAATTAATATGGTACACCACATAAACGAAATGAAGGGTAAATACATATGATCCTATCAATAGATGCAGAAAAAGCAACTGACAAACTCTAGCACCGATTTATGATAAAAACTCTGAGCAAAGTGGAACCAGAGGGGGCGTATCTCAGCATACCGAAGACCATACAGTATATCACAGCTAACATCGTACTCAATGGGGGGAAACTAAGTGTTTTCCTTAAGATCAGGAGCAAGACAGGAATGTCTACTTTCACCACCCTTATTCAACATAGTCCTAGACGTCCTCGCCACAGCAATCAGACAAGAAGAAATAAAAGGCATCCAAATTTGAAAGGAGGAAGTAAAACTGTCATTTGCAGATACTATAATACTGCATAGAGAGAACCCTAAAGGTTCCACCAAAAAACTACTAGAACTGATAAATAAATCAGTAACGTAGCAGGTACGAAGTTAATATTCAGAAGCTGGTTGCATTTTTATACACCAATAATGAACTATCAGAAAGAGAAAGTAAGAAAACAATCCCATGTACAACGGCATAGAAAAACACAAAATACCTAGGAATAAATTTAACCAAGGACGCAAAAGACCTGTACTTGGAAAATTATAAAACACTAATGAAAGGAATGGAAGAAAGGCACCAATAAATGGAAGCATATACTGTGTGCTCATGGATAGAAAGAATTAGCATCGTTAAGACGTGCTAACTACTCAAAGCAATCTGTAAGTTCAATGCAAACCCTACCAAAATACCAACGGCATTTTTCACAAAACTACAACACATAATCCAAATATTTATAGAGAACCACAAAGGATCCCAAATAGCCACAGCAACCTTGAGAAAGAAGAACAATGTGGAATGTAACATGCTACCTAATATCATAAAAACAGATACATAGATCCCCTGGCCGCTATGGCTTAGTTGGTTGAAGCATCGGTCCGTGCACCAAAGGGTCACAGGTTTGTTCCTGGTCTGGGTGCATATGGGAGGCAGCAATGGAAGTCCTTCTCTCTCTCTATCTCTTTCTCTCTCCCACCTCCCTCTTCTCTCTCTAAAATCAATAAAAATATTTTTTTTTTAAAAAAGAAAGAAAATGGTTTTTCAGTCAGGGTTCCCATAGTCCAGGTCAACACTGAAGTCATTGGGAAGTATTTATTATATTTACATTTCTGTACTCCTCAAATATTCTAAAATTCATAAAGAAATGATCGTGAATCATTTTCAAAAGCTCCCAGATGTGAGACTCGCTAATAGGGATCTAGAGCTTGGAGGCCGTCTCCTTTGAATTTTTAAATGGTAATGAGCATTACTTTAAATTGCCAATTTAAAGTCGCTTCAGGCATGTTACATGCTTAAAGGTCACTCCTACAAGTATGCATTGTGCTGAGAAAAGAGATGTTGTCCTTGACCTTAGATTTGTCTTCGATACAGGTGTTAACAGAAGTGAGGGCTACAAGCTCCAACAGGTGGGCCAGCCACTGTTTTATAAGTAAGGAACCTAGCGCCCCCTGGCGTTCTGTTTCTGTATTGACTGCCTCAGAGTGCAGAGCCACCCAAGGGACAAGAAACTTGCAACTTTATTTTTCACGTTAAATAACTTCTCATATCCAAATCGAAATTACTTCAGTGACTATGCACTTTCTCAGGGGAAATCAGATGCCAAAACTGATACCCCACACCTCTATCTATAAAGGCGTTTTAAATATAGCTCACCAAAATTATTGATAGAAAATACAAACCGTGGCTATGTAGTTATATGATTTATATGCCCTTCCAGCAACTCAAGAAAAAAACAAACAAACAAACAAAAACAAGCACACCAACTATTCTAGCAACTTACACTTCTAGAATTCGGCCAAAACTTTAAGTACCTCCTCCGCATTGTCAACTCCTGCACTAAGTCCAGACTTTGTCACTGAGCTCTGGACTTATACAGGCCCATGTGACAAGCAGATGGGTGACAACTGGGCATTTCCAATTGAACAAGTCCTCAACAGAACTCTTAATCCTGCTCTCCAAACCTGTGCCTCCACAAGTCCTACTGGCTCTACTTCCTAAATACATCCAGAGCCCGACTGCTTTTGCCAAACTACCAGTACCCCTGATCCAAGCCAATGTCACTTTAGCTGGACTATTGCACTAATCTTCTAGCCTGCTTACCTGCTTTCACTCTTCCTACACACCCACCCGCTGCACCACGGCCTTCGCTCCCCAGACGGCAGCCTTACAATATCCTTTTAAAGCACAAGCCAGACATGATCACATTTAAAACCCAATCCTTGCCCAGTCAGTGTGACTCAGCAATTGAGCATCGGCCTAGGATCCAGGAGATCACGGGTTTGATTCCGGGTCAGGGCACATGACCCGGTTGCGGGCTCCATCCCCGGTGGGGGGCGTACAGGAGGCAGCCGATCAATGACTCATCATTGATGTTTCTCTCTCTCTCCCTCTCCTCTCTCTCAATCAATAAAGACGTTTAAAAAAAAATCCTTCATGTACGCCCTCATGGAGGCTATAACCTTCCCCGCTCCTCTTGGTTTTGCTACTTTGGCTGTACCGGCCTTCCTACTACTCCTTGAAATCACAAGAATCAGGCCTTGGCATTTCTGGTTCCCTTTGCCTGGCGCACCCTTCCCTTAATGTGTACCTGATGTAACACTTCAATTTGGTGCCCTCCAAAGGTCACCCATGAGGAAGCCTCACTATCCTCTCCAAAGCAGTGCTCGTTTCTATCCTTTTACTCTGACATGATGTTATAAAAGCATCTGTTGGCTCCTTTATCATCTGTCTCTTCCACTGGTACGTTAGAGAACCAGGTTTTTCTTCAGTGCTGCATGCCCAAGGTTTTGAGCAGGGCCTGGCACACAGCAGATGATGCTCCAAACACACTGTTGAATGAATGAGTTCTTTGTAAAAAAAAACAACCCACGTTTTTACTGATTTCAGAGAGAGGAAGGGAGAGGGGGAGAGAGAGAGAAACATCAATGGCAGTCATCGATCAGATGCCTCCGCAGGCACCTACCAGGGATCGAGCCCACAACCCAGGCATGTGCCCTGACCAGGAATCAAACCGTGACCTCCTGGTTCATAGGTCAAGGCTCAACCACTGAACCACGCCGGCTGGGTGTGAGTTCTTTGTTTTTCATTGACTTTTACAAGAGAAAAATTCACGATTACAGCTCAAGAGTACCTGGTGCTGCTGTGAAGCATTTGGGCCACCCGGGCCCAGGACACAAAGCACTGTGCTCAAAGCCTACAAGCCCCACGTCTGAGATGGGTCTCCACCTGCTCGGTGACAATGTCCTACATGTGTGGGCCAGGTGTAGGGAAGGAAACATAGATCCACCAGAGACGAAACAGCGGGAAGAAATGACCACTGGGTGGTATGCAAATGGGGACTCAGGGTTTGCACACTGCTGGAGCAGACTTTGTTTTCACCTAACCTGTTCCCAGTAGGTTAAGGTAAAACATTTTTCCATGATGTTTTTTTTCAAATGCCTCAACTGTCAGCAAGTACTTTCCTGGATCTTGGAACAAAGCAGGGCCGGAAAGCAGGGAGCCAGGGACCTGGCTTCACTTCTGCCACCGGTGTCACCGCACAGTTTCCTTAGCTACCTGGGGCCTGTCTCCTCACCTGCGAAATGCACTCGGCAACACTCACCTTACTAACACTTTACAATTCTGCTCGCCAAAAGTGAAACGCGTGTGCGGGGGATGCCAAGCCTCTGGCAACAGGAGCAGAGGGTAAAAACCACCTGCCACCGAGAGCAGCAGCAAGATCTGAGGGGGTCAGCGCCGGCTCGAGGCGCCCCCCGCGCGCACCCCCTCGCGGCCTGGATGTCAACACGCTGCGCCCCACGGGGCCGCCTCCTTAAACAGAAAGGTTCTCTCCTGTTGATTCAGCTCCACAGGCCCATCTCGCCACGTGCAGGACCCAGCGGTACTAACCTGGAGCTGGGGCCGCGCGCCGGCCGCGGGGGGCCCTTGGAAGGGGCGCAGTCACCGCGTCGAGGGCTCGGCACGAGGGCGGAGCGCAGAGGAGCTCGGCACCTTGCGTATTAACCGCGCGCTGAGACGGCGTTCTGTGTTCTGGAGGCGCGGAATTACAGAAAATGTACGCAGCGGAAGGTCGTTTCACGCGCGTCCTTTCGCATCTGCTAACGTGGCTCCCGGACACTTTTAAATGACGCCGCGGGCCCTGGGATTTGGATCGGGCGGCTCTGCTCCGGACTGCCCGTCGGGACGGGGCGGAGGAAGCGGCCAAGGGCCAGACTCCTTCGGAAGGCGCTGCCCGCGCGCT